AAATTTCCTCTTTATATATTGATCCACATAATTAGATTCCTGGAATTTTCAATATTTTATAATTAATTACACTTCTAAACCTTGATAAATAATTCTTAAAATAATTTCTAACATATTTGCAAAAATATTTATAAATTTTATAAAAATTTTATTTTATAAAATTTTACCTTTATATATGTAGAAAATAGAATAGATAAATGCTGATTAATTTTGCCATCTTAAAAATCTAATAGCACACATTGTATATTGTGATTCTAATTAGAGAATAAAATTACGGTATACAAGTTTTTTTCTGCCATTCACATTCGTGACGTTAAAAAGTAAAATCATGTAATTTACTAACCGCGGATATGTGCGAGAAATTATGATCCTTATAGAGGACACAATTATAATCAGAATCTAATGATCTCTGCCAAAAAACGCAACAACTATAATGAACTTCCTACTAAGCATTTGCCATAACCTTTTTGTATATATATATATATATATATATATATATGTATAACTATATCGTGCCTGACTTGTTCTTCTCCTGCGGTGAACATTTTTTTGTCGTTGTAAATTGTCGCAATCACTCGGTAGAAGAGTTGGTAAAAAAAAATTCGCCAACAGCTATTTTAGACAAACATTGCAGCTTCTTTGACTTTACTATTATATAGGAATATAGTAGCAAACAAAAAAAAAAAATTAAATCCTATCTCCTGCTTTAAATTGTTTCCTTGTTATTTTTTCTTGTATAAAATTTAAAAAGTTAACTTTTATAAAAATTATATATATATTTTATGAAAGTTATATTTAATTTTAAAATGAAAAATTTCTTTTAATTATATATTTAAAGAAGTATCGGAATTCAAAGGAATGAAAATAACTGCGTCGGACAAATTTGACATTTGGAACGAAAAATAATCGGCGGATTTTTGTCGTTGGGGAATGAATGAATGAATGTTAGGTCGAGACTGTATATGGAAAGAGGGCCACAGGATATAGGAATGAGAAAGGGCGGGGAATGAGACGCGAAATTCTTTCATGCCCTTCGGAAATGTCATATAGCTGTCGGGATTCGCGGAGGCAATATTTCACACCAGTAGGTCTTGTCTGTCCGTTAGTCCGTCCGTCCGTCTGTATTATCGCCTTTTTTTCCCTTCTCTATCTCTCTTGCTCTCCAAACACTTTACAAGAAGTTTTTTACGCGGAGTCTCTCGATCTTTAATCACAGCTCGACCTTCCATTGTCACAGTGACGTCACCTCCGACTCGCAAGGGTGCTCACAGGGGGTGCGCGCTTTGTGTGTCGTCGGGCGCTGATCCCTCTCCGCGTCATTTGTCTCCGCGGACGCCTTATTTGTACGCGCTCTCACACGAATCTCGACGTATGTAACTTTTGGTATTCAGTCAAAAAGAGAAAGAAAGAAAGAAAGAGGCAGGATTACATATTACATGGGTTAAAAGTTGAGTCAGCTTGTGAAAATTGCTTTTTCCTATATGTCGTCCAAATAAGAAAATCCCTAGTGAAATTTTTTTTTAAATTAATTACTCATATTTCTCATTTTCTAGGAAATTAGAAATTAATTTTTAAAAAAATAAACTTTCTATAAGTAATTGAATGAGAACTATGATAAAAGAAAAGAAGCAAGAGAATAATTCTCGAAGGACCGGTCCCGACCCTCTTTAAAAACCTTTCTATCTTTCTTTTTTTTTTGTAAAACTTACGCTGAACGAGCAAATCTGCACGCTTATCAGAAGGATTACCACTCCAAGTACATTGCCTGTGAGATTATCGTGTCCATGTAAAGCAAGTTTCGAGTTCGATATACGTGTGTCCCTCTCTCAGCAAACTTGTAATCTTGTACTTATCTTCGGCGATGAAATATACAAGACTTGTCTTGAATCGACCTTCTTCCGACCGCGTAGATCAGTCGTTGATCTAAGTATATCGGAAAGGAAGTCATTACCATTAAAAGCAGTGTTGTATAGTCCCGTTTACAGTTTTTCAGAAAACATGTCGCACCAGTTCAATTTTTTTTTTCCCCTCAAGAAATAAGGTTATAATTTCCGCTTTCATTATAGAAAATTTATTTAGTATATCAGTTATAAATTTTTAGATATATTTACATGACGTATATTCTATTTATCGAATTCCATAAATCAATAGAATATAGAGATGAAATTTTTTCTTTGAATTTAGAAATAGTTTTTAACTTGTAGAATCATAAAATAACAATTGCTATTCCCGTGATTCAAAAAGGAATATTAATTATTCCTTGTGTCATTTTTACATAGTAATCTCGACTCTTGTCAATGAATCATAACAAGCAACTTAACAGCATCATTATTCCATTCGGAGAAAATCGATTATCGATGCCAACTAGTCTTTATATATGTGAAAAATGATTCTAATCTCCCTAGCATTGCGATACAGGTGTCAATGGACTGTCACGTTTTTTTGATGATATATCGAGTAACTCGTTATCGATTCCAATAGGGAGAGGGGGGGGAGTAAAAATCAAAAGAAATGATTCCAATCTTAAACCAACGATGATGACCGTTAACGTCACTTTGCGCAATGGGGGGGCGTCATTTTTTAACGATCTCCAGTTTGTTTTCTTTTCATTCAAGAGTGTGGCGAGAAACGAGGGCTATATAAGAGTGTGTGCGATTATTAAGTACAAGACGGATCTCAACTCGTCAGGTTTTCAAAGAGTGGCCTCTCTCGAAGTATGCACCACACATGCTTTATATATATATATATAAAAAAAAGAAGCATAAGAGAAGCAAGTTAAGATTGGTTAATTTATGGTGGTACCCAGTCAACAAGGCGCCATGGCATTTAGCGGTTAACGCATGCAGATATATAGAGGGTCGCTTGTCAAGGGGAGGGGAACACTATATAACAGGGGGGTAAGAGGTAGGCTAAAGAGACGCCACTCAACAGAATTATTTGAATTGATGTGGAGAATTGAAGCTGACGACATCTAAGAGACAATCCGGCATTTTGTTTATTGGTCGCGCGTTGGCGGATTCCTTACGATCTACTTTAATTGAACCTCGTCAATCGCGATTTAAACAATAATATATCTTCATTGATTCGTTGGAAATTCCTTTAATGGATATTTCTTGGATTTTGTTTTGTCTTTTAAGGTTTTCAAAGAACAATTTTTGGCCCTATATATTTCACTTACCTTCTCTTAGTTGTGAGCAGACCTGGATTGATGCAAAAAATCTCTTCTTCGATTCATTGGAAATTCCTTCAACGGATATTTCTTAGATTTTGTTTTGTCTTTTAAGATTTTCAAAGAACAACTTTTGGCCCTACCTTACATATCTAACTTACCTATTTTTAGTTGTAAGAACTCCTTTTTCCTCTTCTTATACCTTTCCAATTTTTATAGTTATGAGCAGAACATGATTGTGTATTGTAATTGAACTGAAAAAAAACAAAAGAATATAATAGTTAAGTCACATATATAAATGTACGTATATACAGTAAGAAAGTTAAGTAAGGGAGGAGGCACGCGGGAAAATGCAAATTGCATTATTTCCATACGTACATGTAATGGGCTATTACGCGCACGTGGCTACCACAAAGGAATCCGACTCTCTTTACGAACGTATGTACGTGAAAGCTTGCGTTAGAAGATGTAGCGCGTGCCCGACATTATAAGTACATTGCGCCAATGATACGTCGTTCCTGTGGCTTCCACCGCAAACAAAATTCACCCTCCACACATATATATATATATATATATAGGATGACTTACTTTTGTATATTGACGCCCCATGATTTTTCACGGTCGAACTCTGCTCCCAGCGCGCGCATACTTAAACACCATCTCTCCTGAGATTTCTCTCCTTTCAGTGAGGGATTTTTTTTTATTGACAAGGGGACAAATTGGAGGAGTGCCTTTTTATTTTGCTCAATCTCACAATTTCCATGTGGCAATATTTCATTCCAAATTCTGAAAAGGAAAGAAAATTTATTTATTTTAAAAATATTAACTCTAAAAACTTATATATATCAATTTCTTAGAATACTTAAGTATTGATTGCTTTAATTTCTGGGAATAATAATCAAGTGTGCTGCGACAATTTAGAATCATTCATTGCGAGCGAAACAAAAGGTCAAGAAATCCAAATACTGTTTTATATACAGACATAAATCTTGACGGAATAAGTCTACTTAATATGCGGGTCAGACACACGTAGAGGGTTCCCAACTAAGAATGAAAAAATTTATGAAAATAGAGGACAAGGCAAGACGCATTCAAAGATCAACAAAGTCTCTGTGTCTTATCATATTATCCTCGCAATTTTAACTCAAGATGTTATATATATATATTACAATTTATAATTAAATCACGTACTTTGTTTCTTTTTTAAGAAAAACAATAAAATTACGTGAATTATAATAATAACAATTATCCAAGAAAAAGGAAAGGTGTCACGAGAAAAGAAATAATCGTGGGAATGGCAAAAAAAAAAATTCAGTTTTAGATTAGTCTGACACCTGTGTATGTATGTCTAGTTGGCACGCATTCTAGCGCGCGCGAGTTTCAATGACTGCGTGTCTGTTGCCCGAGGCATCTTGCGGTGAACCTCACTAGGGGGATAAAATACCCCCATCACCATTTTCTCCTCACCCGAGCAGTGAACGTAAAGCCACATTAACGTTTAATTTCTCCCTTCATCCGGTCACCCTCTCTCACCATTCTGCTCGCTCTGATTGCTTGCACCAACACTTTTTTATCATCATCCTTTGACTTCTCGACGAAATAATTAACGCGTTGATAAAATGTCATAGTCTCCCTTCACAATTCATTTGCTCAATCAGTCTCGAACAATTCTTTTTTTGTGTTCGGGAGTTAAACTTCGGAGATCAATCTCTCCATTTGAAATAAACTTTCTGTTTATAGAAAAAAGAAATAGAAGCTGAAAATAAAATTTAAAAGTAATTTGCTAATTATTGATTATTAATAGGAAACTTTTCTTTTTTTTTTGTTACAGATGCATGTGGTCTTTCGGATGTGGCACATATTGAATCACTGCAGGAAAAATCGCAATGTGCTTTGGAGGAATATTGCCGAACGCAATATCCAAATCAGCCAACGAGGTTTGGAAAATTATTACTTCGATTACCATCGTTGAGGACAGTATCATCGCAGGTGATTGAACAACTATTCTTTGTGAGGCTCGTGGGTAAAACTCCAATAGAGACACTTATAAGAGATATGCTCCTCAGTGGTAGTAGCTTTAATTGGCCTTACATGTCCACAATGTGACACTCTGTCTGGCGGCAGTTAGCTTCCGCATAATATCACTGTACCTCGATGCACGGCCCAGCTGCTTCTTTTGGTAGCGAAATCAGAGGATCCCACGAGATTTGAAGCCTGTGATCATCATGAATACTTCATAGAAGAGCCCTGGAGGAACAACTTTTTGCGCACTACGATATCAACGAATCTTCTCTCTCTCTTTCTTTCTCTCTCGCAAAAGACCTTCGTTTCCTTTAGATAACAGTTAAAACGATCAGAAAATGCTAACGAGAAACATGTAATTATCGCTTCCGGAAGTACGTTCAACTCTTGAACACGAAATCGTTCAACTTGTTCTTGATTTCAAAACCTTTTGTTTCTTATTCTTCTTTGTCTGAAATATAGAGAATTTCGATAAATTTAAATGTAATTTTTTTCCTTATTGTCAAAATTACAAAACGAAGATTTATTTTGAATATCATTTTTTGATTGGAAATAAATTTTTAGACATTAAATAGCGCTATATATATAAAACCAGGTGCTTCCTGTGTGTGTGTGTGTTATACAAGGTACCGTTTTGCTCTCTCGTGAAAGTTACTGTTTAAGAGGGCGGAGATATGTCTTAAAAGAGTGTAAGATAATAAAGTCGTCGTTTATTCAGAATCAGGGGCGCCAAGTGGTCCGACAGTCTTGAAGAGAGGAACACCGCTGGGCGTTAAAACTTGGAACTCGTAGCGAACTAGCAATCGAATGAGTGAGAGAGAGAGAGAGAAAAGAGAGAAGAAATGAGACCGTGATCGTGGTGTGAAGAAATCATAAATTAGCATTTATAATCAGTTAGGTCCACTATATATAAATATATCTCTCTCTTAAATCGATTTGTGCGTCAAGCATTTATCGAACACTTCAAAAGTCACTTTATATTATATATAGTCACTCAAATCAGTTTTAAAAATTATTTTTTTAATGGAAAATCTTCAAATTTTAGATTCTTAAATTAGTCGAATTTATTATCTGACGCGCACTGAAGAAAGATATAACTAAGAATAGGAAAAAAATTATAGTTTATAAAAATGCAATTGCACAACGATTTTTGATTTTACATTAAAAAAAAAAAAAAAAAAAAATTAAGGTTGAAAAATAAACAGAATATAATTCGTTTTAGATACCTTTCTTCAGTGCGAATTCTAATCATTGCAGTAAAGTGCAATAAAAATTCTGATTAAAATGTTATTTACCTCCTTCTTTTTTTTTTTGCTAATATTATACTCTGGTTATATATTTACGAATATTATGTTAATTGCGAAATTTAAAAAAAGGAAAGGCGCCAAAAACATTTAAAAATTACGAAAATAGTGCGCAAAATACTCAACACTTATTTGTGGATGCGGCCAGTGTTTACTTCGAGTTACCTGTTGCTTCGTATATTATATTTTCTGTATTATTTGTATAAAAAAAATGTGGGAAAAAAAAAATAATGAACGAAATGTTTTCCCCCAGTTAAAAGTCTCTTTTATTTGCAATATAATGAAAAATAAATTAATTTTCAAATCTACGATCCTCGCACTGTTCATCGAAAGTGATATATATTGTATAATGCACGTTTGTATAAATTTGTGAAGCGACTATTTTTATATTATTTATTTTTTAAATTTCTACGTTGGAGAAAATTGTTGTAAACTCTCAATCTTTATAATTATTATTATTATATTTAACAGATTCTTTGTGACTGTCATTAGGAAACGAAGAATCCATGTGCGACACGATTACTTATTTTCTATTGCGTTATTATTGTTTTTTTTTTTTTTTTTAAAGTTTATTAAAAGGCTGCATCAGTCTTATACTCGATTTCTTAGCTCTCTATCGACGATGTCAACTCTCGTCGCTAAAAAAAAAATTTATTACATTAGTCAAAAATTAATATAAATTAATTGTTTTCTTTTTATATATAAAAATTGTATGTATGCGACGAAAGAATTTATTGAGTAATTTTTTAAATAAAGCTTTGAATCATTAACAAAGAAAATTATTTCAAAAGAAACGGTTTTTAAACATTTTTGATGTTACATTGGATCAGAGTTGGGAAAGAGAGTGAAAAAATTTCTGATTGGTTGATAATATTTCGTGAGCCAATCAGAAATTTTCGATGCTTAGCTACCCAACCTGAAGAAACTAACCTCAAAATGATTTTTTCTCTCCGCTTCTTTTGTGATAAAAAAAAATTTTTTAAATCGAAATTTAAACGACAATATTTATAAAAAAAAATCCACCCAATTTTATCGTGTTTAGATTTAATAGTAGAATTTCTTTTTAAATAAAAAAAAAAGAAGTCTCGATAACTTTTTTAATGATATCATTATATACAATGTAAATTTGACGTATTAGTGCCATCTCAATTTTTTTTAACACGGCCTACATATATATACATAGTCATACATATATAGCTAGGACAATAGTTGTGAACAATAATTTTTTATATTTAATATTATTCTGGCCGTTTTTTTTAAAGTATAAATCGATTTTTTTTGAAAAATTTAATTTTACCTTTTTTAATTGTGTTTTAATAATTAAGGAGCGTCCACAATAAAAGGTAAATCTTTTCGGGCGATGAGGCACATAAATATATATTTTTTTGATCGAAAAGTATGTCATCAACGCAAAAAAAAAAAATTATAATTGTAATGAAAACTGTAGTTCTACCTAGAGAGAGAGAGAGAGAGAGAGAGAGAGAGAGAGAGAGAGAGAGAGAGAGAGAGAGAGAGAGAGAGAGAGAGAGAGAGAGAGAGAGAGAGAGAGAGAGAGAGAGAGAGAGAGAGAGAGAGAGAGAGAGAGAGAGAGAGAGAGAGAGAGAGAGAGAGAGAGAGAGAGAGAGAGAGAGAGAGAGAGAGAGAGAGAGAGAGAGAGAGAGAGAGAGAGAGAGAGAGAGAGAGAGAGAGAGAGAGAGAGAGAGAGAATGATAAATCATCAAAAATGATGATTATGAATGAAAAAAAAATACTTTGTGATATGTGCACGTCAAAATTTTAATCCACTTTTTCGAGACGGTGCTTTTTCTACTTTATAAATATTGTAAAATATCAACAAAAAAAAAAAATTCGACACTTTGTATAGGGTTATTTAATGATGATAGAAATTTGAACACTATATTATATATATAAATATATTATATATAAAATATTAAATGTGGCAATTTCGAGCTAGTTACTTATAGTAAAGCACTTTTAGGGAATAAAAATGGGATCTTTGTAATGATTTAAAGCAGCGGTCGTTTCTTAATAATAATTAAAAAAAATGCGGATTCTTGTAAAAAGAGATATACCTTCTAACATACAATCAAAATTTAAAAAAAAATTTTTTTGCTAAATTATACAAGCTCAAAGGAGTAAAAAATTTTCTCATTTATTGTAATTGTAATTTTTTTTTAAAATAATTTAAAATGTTGATGAAGGAATCTTTTTGCGAAGACAGTTGCTCAGAAAACTCAAAAATGTATTATAAAATATCAAAAAAAAAAAAAAAAAAAAACGTCTGTTGTAAGTAGGTTACAAAGATACTATAAATAGTTATGTATAAAGATGTGAACATTTTTGTATAAAAGTTGTACATAATTAATATATATATATATATAAAAATGAATATAAAAATAAAAATATATATATATAAATTGCAAAAAATGATGAATATATAAATAAAGTAAATGAAATAAAAAAAATTGTGTTTTATTGACTAATGACAATAACCTTTTTTTATCTTTTATATTTAAATATGTAACACGCTTTGTGACAAAAAATTTTAGATTATTTTTGTCACTTTCAAAGTGAAAATAAACATAAAATTAAAAATTAACGTTTAATTGAGATAAAACTATCACTAAACATAACCCATAATTTTTTGCGTTATTACTGAACAGACAACAGTTAAAAACAATTTTTAATGAATTTATTCAAGTAAGAAAATACTTTTTCCTTGCTTGGAAAAATGAGTCTCATTTTTTTTTTGTCAAGGGGAATTAGAAATTGATATAGTTAAAAAAATATTTTAATGAAGTTATTCGACTAAAAAAATTTTTTTTTCCTACTTCCTAACAAGACCTAAGAAAACTGAACATGAAACACACAATCTTGATAATAGAAACTCTATAATGTAAAACGTCCCCTGTAGTGCGCCACCGACGGTTAATAAAAAACGCGGGAAATTTAAAAGTACATTTCAATAGAAACTTTTTATATTTTTTATTTAATTAATTAAAATTGTTAATTTAAATATTTAATGAATTAAAATAACTAAAAATTATTCATAATTTAAAAAAAATCGAAAAAAATTTTTAAAAAAACGTTTACATATATAAATAGAAGAATTGGGATAAATCTTGAGAATTGAAAAAAAGGAGTGGAAAAAGGTAGTACATCATTATTAGATTGAGTGTGCTTTTCTTTTTCTTTTTGTCGTCGCTGTCAAACCGTCTCTTGTGTCTTGGACTTGAAAAGGATGCAAAGTGAAGAAAATGAATGGCAAAAAAGGAATGGAGGGAGGTTGCTTACCAAAGACCTTAGGGTCGCGATCGCAGACAGAGGCATCGCCGTCACGTCGGGCCAGAAATCACTCGCTGCGTCAGGGAAATTCGTTCGCCAATTGTTTATATTGAAATACACTCGTGCAGGAATGCCCGGCGGTCTAAGGAAGTATTCGAAAAAGAAGAGCGAGAGAGAGAGAGAGAGAATGAAGGAGTGAAAAGGGGAAAGGGGGGGTATGCCAAAGCGACCACAAGCCAAAGGCTCGTTGCACACTATCCGATTTGTGTCGGACGGCAAAAAATCGGACGACAAAAAATTTTCAGTGGACTGAAAAAGTAAATAGGGCTTTGCACACTTTCCGATTTAAAATCGGACCGACAAAATGTCGTTGTGCTGCCGGAAGAATCGACTACAACGTCCGACTGTCGGATGATGTCGTCAAAGCAGTCTCTTATGAAAAGCAATAGATGCTTGCATACTATCCGACAATTTGTCGTCCGATGTTTATATAATCAGGTAGTTTTTCCAATTCTACGTGACTCTATTAGAAAAATTTGAATTTTCTTATTTGTTTATAACAATTTGTGTAAACAAAGTAATTTTTTAAACAATATATAATTTAAATTTTTTTTCTAAACCATAGAGGTAAAATACTCTCTGATACTGAACAGCTTTCAGAAAAGATATGTTTGTTAACTCCATAATTAAAATATCATTAGGCTCATAGATTCAGGTAGTTTCCGATTTTTACGACGTAGCAGACAAGCTGTGACAACTATATTTTTAATATTCATTTTTTAAAAGCAAATATCAAATTATAATAATACTTTGCTGCACACAGTACTCTGGCTAACGTGCGACTGAAATCAATTTCTTCGCATACCTGAAGTTTTCGTTGGATGATCAAATGTCGTACGACAAAAATCGGACAGTGTGTAAAGCTCGTTCGTCCGACAAAAAATCGTCCGACTTTTTGTCGTCCGACACAAATCGGATAGTGTGCAACGTGCCAAAGTCTTCTTTGAAATTGGGACGACAGTAAAGAAGTCAAAGGAACAAATCAACAGTAGCGTTAAAGAAAATCTTGTTCTTTTTTTTTTTACTTCTCTTTCTCGCCCCTCATATACCCTCAAGATTCATTGAAATACACCAACAGTTAAAAAATCTATTCAAAATAAATTTTTCAATTTTTGCAAAACAATAATAATTATTCTATATTTAAATATAATTAATGCTTTGAAATGAGTTTTATTTTTTTAATGAATAAAAAATAATTTTTATAAAATAAAATAATTTTAATTCAAATATTACGTCAACTTTTGAGATAGAGTATATTTCTCCTTTAAAAAAAATAATAATAATAATAATAATCCCCGATGAAAACGCGAGACATTTTGATTGACTTGTACAAAGTGCTGATGCGTAATTCCAGAAAAATGGATTTCAACGAAATAGATTCACAGTCTTTGGAAATAAAATTACCCTTTTGATCCCTCACATTGATCCTTATTGGATAAAAGTCGAGTGAAAGATTTAATGGAATTTAGACCGCACCCCAAGTGTAAAAATTAAGCCATGCGGGAGAGAAAAATTCTTTTCCTCCATTTTAAAGACATTAAAAAAAAATGTGTATTAACAAAAATGATTATTCAAAACAAATTGTGAAAAACAATTATATTTAATAACATATTATTATATTGACAATGTATATTATTATTGACAATATTCTATAGAACACTAAGTAAGTAGTATATATAGATTATATGAAGCAATATAAATTGTCTAATAAATATTGTAACTTTTGAGATTAGAAATCAGTAAATAATAATAATTTACCATCTAGAATTATTTACTAACATATGTATTGAGATTAAGATCTTAAATTCAAAATTTCAATTGAAAATTAATGATATATATTGTTAATCCTGTATACAATTCTACATGTATATATATATATATAAAATTGGTGAGAAAGAAGATAAGTATAATGCGATAAAGGAGACCGATTAAAGACTTTATAATATATATATATGATTATAATATAAATTATGAAAAATTATTGAAGTGAGAAAGTTGTAAACAATCTAATTAGCACATTGCGTGTGAAGTGAAATTCCAATAAAAGTCGAATCACGATAATGACTCAGACGTGTAATTAACACCTCAAGTGGAAGAATTTAAAACTTCTTGTTATATGTTGAAATTTCATTTTTATTGTTATGTATACTCATTTCTCTCAAACGTTACTTATGTTACACTATTATAAGAAAAGAATGTTAGCAAAACGCGTGTATTTTCACAGAAAGACAAATTGTTTCAAAGAGAGTGTGAATTTATTTAGAGATTTGCAAAATTTATCGGTCTTTTGTTTTTATTGACTATTTAAGTCAGCATTTATATTATCAGAAAATTATAGTAAAAATAACTTCCTGATTATTTTTAAAAAACAATTTTTTGTTAAATTCGTTACATTAGTAAATATGGATTTTCTGGATAATATCAACAACCATAAAACAAATAATCAATAATAAATCTAATAATTGAAACGATTTTGCATTGAATATTTTTTGATACATATAAACACAAATATACACAAAATTTTTTTCTTAAATAACATAATTATACATAATATGTAATACTTAATTAACTACTATACAAGTTAAATAAACAAATAGATAAAAATAAAAAAAATAACTATCTGAATTAAATATTTGAAGCGATTAAGTAATGTGGTATAACCTTTACAAAAATTGGCAGTGAATATAAGGTTAACATTTATAATATTAATATTATATTATGATATTTAATAAAATATAAATTTCTGGTTAAGTAAATAAAAAATATATGACAAACTTACTTGATTTCCTTATAATTTTTTCAGCATATGATTTCTTACCATTCGATGGGTAATTTGTCATTAATGCATTTTGTATCATTTAGTGCAGGATTCTTTTAGTTAAAGAATTATCTTACACTTCAAATTATTTCGTTTAATAAAAAACTTTAAATATTACATTAAAATAATAATTAATAAATAAATTCTCAAAAAATTCTTCACATTAACTCACTAACTACAGATTGTAGGTTCCCCTTCGTTCCTGGCAAATGCTAGAAAGCAACTGAAAACTTGAAGGTCTGCCTTAGGAAAATTTTTGAAAAAATACTAAACATTTAAAAACATTTCCTTCGTCTCTTTGCATCTTCAAAATTCACATATTTTCTATCTAAATAAATCTATAAGAAAAAAACAGGTACCGAAAAACTCACAAAATAGGACTT